TGTCACTGTGATGCCATATTCACTTTATAGCCTCCAAACCTGTGAGTAAATCCCTGTTCCCTATAAAGAACCTAGCCTCTTGTCATAGCATCAAAAACGGACCAATGCATGGTTCTAAGTCCTTCCACTGCAGCCCAGTTGCTGATTTTAGACATCACCTGCCCAGCACAACCTGGTACAGTATTGTAAGCAAATGATAAGCCTTGCCAAGGAGAGCATACATTTGGAGACCCGAGAACATGGGACTTCAGCTAGGAAGCAAGATTCACAAATGAACTCACCTGGGGCTCTACTCCTACTTGACAAAGGATACCACAGAAGGCAATAGGTGTATGCAGCTTTCTTTGTTACTGACTCTGAAGTCCTTGATTTTTAGAGTCAAGTTAGAACACATTGGGGAAAGCATCCTTCACTGACTTACTCCCCCAAGTATTCATCTTGCCAACACAGTCCTCCAATAGGCAGAAAGCAGCCCAGTGCTTCCATGAGAGACCTGAAGCATTTGCCCGAGGCTCCATGTCTCCTTGTCCCTTCTCTGCCTCCTCCAGCTGCTCCCTCTGCCAAGGGCTCTTCTCCTCTGCCATTCTGATGGATGTCAAGGTGAGGCTCCAGGTTCAGCTGTCACTTCTCCAGTGTCGCTGCCATCAATCATCTTTCCTGTGTTCCACCAAGGGACGGCCCCCTCCACACTTCCTACATCAAAATGTATCTTATGGGACGGAATCTCAGTGCTGTTTCCTGTTTCTCTTTAACTTCATCCTGTGCCCAAGTCCTCTGACAGTTTACTTAACTGAATTTATCTTCAGCTTGGTACCTAGCTCTAAGCCAACACAGATGGCCCAGCTAGGAAATATCTGTGTTTAGTTTAAAGAAAAAATATGTATGCATATCTTTCTCATTCTCCCTTTTCCTTTTCATTTTACCTTTTGTTTTCTCATAGCAAAAACAGTCACACAATTGAGAAGAACAGAGTGTCACTGAATACGAGAACTGTCCATGCTAATTAGCATAGGATCTTGAACTTGGAAGCCAGTAAAACGTGAATCAAAGTAGAAAAGAATTTAGCCTGGTATATGCATGTACCCCTTGGGCACAACTATCAGAATACCAACTCCATGGGCCTGAGGAGAGGGCCAATTTTGTAGGATGCTTATTATACATGAAGCAGTACCTTTTGGGTTTTCCTGAAAAGCCAGTGGTAAGTTTCTCAGAAGAACCGGTTACTTTCTGTGCCCATCTCTTTTCATTTAGTGATTCAGGGAAGAGATAGAATCTTGGGCCCCTGCCATAGGCAGATATAAAGACAGCAAAATACTAACCAGTTGTTCTATGTTTTCAAAGCAAGAAGAGCAAAGTTACCTGGGCAGTGGGAAGCAAATGACTCTTGTCACATGAGACACGGACATCTATGGCATGCCCAGCTTCAGACCTATTTGTGTTTGTCAAGTCCGAAGTTCTTTCTGCTTGTTGGCCTACAAAATACGATCACCTTGGTTACAGGTGACCTAGTGCAATGTGAGGTCATTGTAAGGGTCCCATTTCTTAGATGGTGTCAAACATGACTGAGCTCTACCCGACAGTCCATTCAATGAGTCATCGGACTGAGAGTGATACAGTGCAGTTACCAGATGGTTCTGCTAATAATTAGAAACACATTTCTATATTTCACAGGACGAAAGCAAGGAAAACATCACTAGGGAAATGTTACATGTGGGGGCAATTATTCAATAGGCCCTTGGCTGGGATTTGTGGATGTGAACATAATTCAGAGGCAAGAATGAAATGCTTGGACTTAGAAATAGAGAGTGCCTTTGCTGAAACAGAACTCCAGACGCAGGCATTCACGTCCAGCCAAGTCCCGATTACTCAAGCAGTGACCGATTCGTCGTTTACCAGACTTTTCCTTCCCATTCTCAGCCCCATAGTCTGGCACTTCTCAAATATGTGAAATTGATTTGGAAATTAAGAATTTTGTATTAATAATAATAAAAAAACGAGAAAATTCTTGAAAGCCCATTGAAGTGTCCCTTACATTTTAATTGGAGCTTGCACAAAGCTAAAACTAAAGATCACACCCTTATGCCTTTTTCTGTGTGCTTGTTTTAATCGAAGAAATTCACAAAGTACGAAGAGTCAAAAATCAATACAGTCAATATTAAAAGCATTAATTTACAGTGATGGATGGTGTTGTTCTTTTTAAAACACACACACACACACACACACACACACACACACACACACACACACAGATGAACAGCACCTTGCAGGGAGACCAGAAGAGAACCACTGTTGGGGTTCAGGGCTGGAGGTCCACATCTCTAGGGCTTCCACAGGACATCAGCTTCTTGCTAGAGGATTTATGACCTTTCCAGCTCCAAGGATGTTACTTTTGTCCCAGTAAAGTTGATCTTTCTAACCTTTCTGTGTCCCGGGAATATTAGTGACTTTTCTCATTGCTATGACCAAAATACCTGACAGGAAGCAACCTGAGTAGAGACTTGTATTTAGCTTTGAGTTCTAGAGAGTACAGTCTGTCCTGCTAGGAAGGGAGAGGCTTGGTAACAGGAGCAACAGACATCACATCACAATATGTCTCAGGAAGTGGGGCAGGGATATAAGCGCTCAAGGCCCACCTCCTTCCTTTATTGAGGTGCTACGTCCCAAAGGTTACGTAATCTCCCAAACAGCGCCACCAGCTGGTGACCAAGTGTTCAAACATGTGAATTTGGTGTGGGGCGGTTCATATTCAGACTATAAAACTCACAGTGTGAAATGAAAAAGATGGGGGATTTAGAGTGGATTGTAGGTTTCAAAGAGGTAAATTTTGGACTTTCTACTGGTGTGTGTGTGAAACACACACACACCACCACCACCACCACCACCACCATAGACATTAACCAATTTCCTATGCAACTCCTCTCAAGAGGCTTGCCTACTGCACAGGACTAGCTGTCCCGTCCCTGCCAAGCAGGTCACACCTCTTTCAAAACTCTCACTCGGACTTTCAGGAGACAGGAACACAGGTATTAGGAGCCTTATCCTGTCAGTAGACCCAGTTGAAGGAGCTGCCAGCTCATGAATTGTGATATAAATGGAGTTGTTCCCACAGTCTGGTCTTGTAGCCTCCGAACACGTTTGTTTCACAGACACTGGTTAATTAATAATCCCCTTTTCTGTGCAGCTAAGGATGAGTTAGTTGTAAGAAAAGAGTCATGTGTGGTTTTTTCAGATAAACATGTGTGAATGTTTATCCCAGGCTAAAGGAAGAGAAACAAAAACATACAGAGCTAAACAGTTGTTGTGCCTGACTTTTCACATTTGTGGTTTTTATTCAAACCTCACCATAATCTCAACAGGACAGGGATCTTGGCGTAAAGGTCTCCCCTCCACTTTTACAGATGGGGAAACTGAAATTCGTAAGAATAATTTTCTTCTGATAATCAGTTATTGGGAGGGGTGGGGCTAGGATTGGAGTTTGGGTCTGCTGACTTTCAAAATTCCCGTTCCCTCTGCTCTTCCACAGAACAAAAGGCAGAAGATTAGAGTTTCCATTGGCCTCACTATTTGCAATAGGGCTATTAATAGCTTTTGCATTTTATTATCTGTTTGTGTGTATACACACACACCCCCGTATGTACACCTGTGTGGGTACTCATGAAGTCAGAGACAGCACTGGATCCTCTAGAGCTGGAGTTTCAGGTAGTTGTGAACTGTCCTGTGTGGATACTGGGAACTGGGGGGCGGGGGGCTACCTCCCCAGTGATGCTATTAAGGTTTAACAGTCATAATATTCCAAACTTCTGAGGCCTCGCTCTTTGCAGGCCATACAATTCTATGTGACCATTGTGTTCTTTCTCAGTTCAGAAATGGTAAATAGTTGGATTTGATGCTAGAAGTCGTTTTGGTCTCATTCCTGTCTTAAAAGCAATTTTTCATGGGTTCAAACTCTTGGACTTGAAAAAAAAAAAAACTCTGGAATTGAAAACAATGTGAGCTTTGTCCTCAAAAGACAAACTCATAACACAGCAGATGTTCCAGCCCATGACAAAAAGCATTCTTATTAACTTTTCAGTGGGGGAAAACATAGGCTGTTGTTAGGGCTTATTATCCCTGAGTACTGGGACTATGGCTTCTCCTGCATGGTCCATTTTCCACCAAGCTCATGGATGCCAGAACAGTATCTCTCAGCACTGGTGTCTACTGTTCTACCCAAGTTTTCCCTGGACCAAAGGGCACAAGGAGAAACAATGTTTCCATTGCTATTCATTCTTTTATCTACAAACAATCAGAGTAAATCCTGTACCACGTCTGCTTCCCTTCTCAGCCCTTGAGAGGAACTGCTATGGTTCTTGAGATGCAGATATTAACTAATCTCAAGGAGCAGCAAAGCACTGAGATGCCTCCTCTTTAAAGATGAACCTGAGGATGCTGGGTTTCCCTGACCCTTCCTTCCATTGACAGGTAGCAAAACTAGGATTCCCATTCCCAAAGTCATGTGAATGTTATTGCTGACTTACAGAGCTCTGGAGGGTGCAGCTCTTCTGTCTTCCTGTTAGAATCACCCTCTGACTGTTTCCTTCCAGGGAAGTGTATCTTGTTCCTTTCCTATGATTTAAGGATAGGTTTTGTGTTTTTGTGCCTCCAACTCTTTATCCAGTGTCTAATTATGAACTTACATTTGTTCAATAGATGATTTCAACTCACAATAGACTACCAAACTCAAGACTTTCATACATCCAACACCAGCAGAGCAAACAGAATCCTGAGAGTCTGGAGAGTATTATGAAAGAATTTGGCCTATAGACACATGACAGATGCATGCAGAAAACTGATATCACCATATCTCTTCCATTAATCATCTTGATATCATACTTCTATTTGAGCAAAAATTTTGGTAAGTTTTCCTTAACCAGAGGAAAAGGTGAGTGACCCGAAGTCACTAGGAGACACCCTGAAACAACTCCCAAAGCAAATTTCTTTCACAGAAAAAAGGCAAAGATAATTTTTACAGTACAAAAATTTTATTTTTTGTTAGGATAATTTAAAGTTTAAAACTGAAGTAGACATATTCATTTTACAAACAAGATATTCTTTCATAAGGAAGACCATTAAAAACAGTAAACAAAAAAGCTGTCTTTACAAAAAGCTCTGTGCATAGCAACTTTATACTGTATGTAACTGACAAAGCAAAAAAAAAAAAAAAGACAACAAAACTATACAGTTTGGAAATGAGACCTTACTGTACAAAAGGTAAAGATAATGGTTTTTAAACCATGCAGGTTGAAATGTGCAAAGAAAAACTGGGAAGAATTTCAATGCTGTAAAGAAATGAGATAAATAATGCAGTAAGTAGTCCCTTTAAATGAAAAATCTTACACAGCTCCTCTCAAAAATAGAACAGAATTTTGTCATTACCTATAGAGATACTTGTCTGCCAAGTGGCACAAAAATAACCTGGGACCAGAATCATTTAATAGCAATGACTAAAGAGGACAGAGTGGCTTTGTTTTTAATTTATTAGTACACTAAAAATAACCCTTACACACGTTTGTACAATTAAATAGATCTGTGGCTGTCGATGTCCTAGTGAATGGTCAAAGATGTCCGGTATTTAGTTACACACAGTCTTCTGTGTAAAGCTACTGACAGATTCTACGATCATTCTGGAGACAGTACTGCACTAATCCTCATGCAAGAGAAAGATTCACAGGTTCTAAAAGCTATGCTACTTATTAAAAAAAAAATGAAAGGAAGAAAGAAAGTTCTTAGGTTGGATTGGCTCAAAGCCAGGTCTAAACATGCTTAATTGTATTCTGCCTCCATTTGGGATGGTAATGTTCATATTCCACACATTCTCTCCCTGTACCAGGTTGTTAGCCAGGGACGTTTTTCTCATGCATTTCCGTATATTTTGGTGCTGTGAGCCCTGACTATGAAGGACTGTCAGCAGTGGTTATGAGCATGCCAGGCTTCTAAAATTGTGGATTCTCATGTGCATAGAAAAAAAAAAACGTCATATTGGGTAATTCCAGAGCAAACTGAAGGCAAATAATTCAGTTGAGGGTTGGGTGAGGACATGTGCCAGAGGGGCAACGAGAGGGTCATCTAAAATTGGCTCAGAAGTACTAGTGATGGGTACTTTTCCATGAAAGCTGCATCAATTTCCAATGCTAGAAGCCTAACCAAGAACCCCAAGCTAAGTCAGTGGAATCAAAGAGAAGACACCTAACCTGGAAAATCATGACATCCTATTGGCGAACCAAGCAAGTCTAGCTGCATCTCCAGGACCACACACATTTTCAAGAGTCTACCACTGTTAGCAACTACCGCAAGGTTTTCCCTGCTAAGAACTAGGTAGGTAGCACAAGGTTCTCAGGGCAGACTGGCTAACTGCACCACTTGGAACACAGCTGCCACAAATCTCCCTATAGGAGAGCTGCTTAGGGATTTTTGAGTTCTTTCTTCTTCGCCCTATCCCACTCATCTCAGAAACAGTGTCAGGTGAGACACATGCTTTTCCGAGGGAGTTTAGTAACATAAAAGGAAATCTCTGCATAGAAAGGAAACAGTCAAAGACTGAGTCTTAAGAGTCCAAGAAACATAACCAACCTCCCCAAGCTCTTTCTGCAAAGTTTTCTGGAGCTTCCTGCCTCCACTCCTGAATCAGGTACCCAAAAGAGGAAGAACTGTACGACTCTGTCGGAGAAAAATTCTGAAGAGTCCTTGGTCAGTTGTAGCCATGTGGCTTTGACCTTTCTTAGAGGTGAGATACTTCTTGCCTGAGGATGTTCGAAACTGAGATGGTAACATGGGGACTCCCTACATTGCTCAGGGAAGAATGTATTTTAAAATGCTTCACCAAGAGTGGACACCACAAATGATCTGTGAACTAGAAAGCAGATCTGGGAATGAAATGGTGGATTGAAGTGTTGGTGTGCTGGCGTTTATCCGTGTCTGGTTTCTGTGGTGGATTGTTCTGTGGGAATCTGCACAAGTTACATGTTCTTGTGCATCGGTTGGTAAAATGATGAAAAAAGTGGGGGATGTGGGATGTAGGATAAGAATCTAATAAGCAACTGTAATAACAACACACCTTTAAAACTGGTCACTACGTGTGTCAATTTCATTTTACAACAGGAAGAGAAATTCTTCTCTTCTTAAAAAAGGTCTTAATTTCTACTTCTACTTACAATAAGTTACACGTTTATTTATTTAAATAACTGTAAAACATTTTAAATTTTTTCCCTTTTTTTTTAAAGAGCTTAAAGTATAAGCAAACACACATACATTTCCTCATTCAATTCAGGTTTCATTTTTAAGAAAGTCTTCCATGCTGGTACCCTGTTTTGTTCAATTTTTTCTGCATAAACTAAATTGGTATCTGAAAGGATTCATAGAAAATAGAAACTTTCAACTTTTTTTTTCCTACAAAGAAAAACAAATAGTATCCAAAATATTAAGCATGAATGTTTGCCAATGTTTTTCTTAAATATCTTACAAACATAGGAAGGTGGTTTTTGTAATGTTCATAACAAAGAATTGCGTTTCTGCTCTTAGCACTGACCAGGTCAATGACATTTCTCTGTTCTTGTCTCCAAAAGGGTCAGTTTGTGTAGTGACTGTCAATGCTTCATGAGGAACACGAGACCAAGACGGCGGCTCTCTGCCTTCCCAAGTCTGTCCAACATGGCCGCTTGGGGGCTCAACTCTCCCCAACAAGCTCAGAGTGCTTCCTTCATAATTGGTCCATTGGAATAAGTAGTTTTGTGCTATGAGAAAGCAGTTCTTCCTCTCCTTTACATCGGGGGTACAACAAGTCCTGTCATGGCTGCAGGAAAAGAACAACACAGGATTGAAACATCAAGACTTTGTCCGGTGAAGTGGATCACAGACCACGGAGGCAGGAGTGGGCATGATAGACTCTAATACAACCCGGGGAGATGGTGAGGTGTTCATATGTGAGTGGGTTTTCTCCAGGACCGGGTTAACAGAAGCTTTGCTGCTAGCAGCCTATATCAGGTCCCCATGCTTGTTTGACAGGCACTTTAGGATTTCTGTATGTTAATGGATCATCTTGGATCAAAAGAAGTAAACATGTAAACCAAATTGTGATAGACGTGTCCCACATCACTAGGTGGAACCAGTAGAAAAACTCAGGTGCTGCGCCGCTTCCTAGGCATCAATGATAACAAACCAGACTTTTCTCTCCATCCTAAGGGTCTTCATGAACATTGTACCCTAAACCGGATTAGTGCTTTAAAAAAATGTAGTTTGTTCTTGTCCAGTATTCACTGGTGGTACATGAAGCTATTCCCTTAGAAATGCTAGTCTCCGGAAGGCGTTCACTTAGTTAAAATTTGGTTGCGGAGAGTCAACCTAGTCAGTCCCCATTCCCTATGCCCTATTCAAATACATTCCCCACTGCCTTCTCTGTCTAGTCAAGAGGATGTGGATGGCACTTCTCTGGGTAGAATGAATCCCAATGTTTTCCCTCTATGTGGGCATGAACAAAAGGGGTGGATCACATAGCAAAACACATCCCTCTGACCTTGGCTCTGTTGTAATAAGCCTGGAGAATTTTACTTAGGAAATTACCAAAGTCCTCTGTATCCAAACTTCCAACCATCTCTACAATTTGATTCCTGGATCTCTCTTATCTTATTTCTCTTATACATTGCATGGAGAGGAATAGCAAATCTTATACAAGTGTCTTTCTGAGCAATTCTTACCAAGATGCCTCTAAGCAAATGACCAAAATTCTGACCATTCATGCTGTCCCAAGCCCATCTCTTTCTCTTTCTCTCTCCCTCCCCTCCCCTCACTCCTTTTCTCTACCCCAGTTAGTTCTCTCGGGCAAAATTGTCAGCTGTCTGTTTCCCTGCCCATACAGCCTTTATTGAATGTTTGTGAGATCTGGATTAAGGTCTTACACAGCTAGCAAAGCCTTAATTATTTTTGCCTGTATTACTATATATTGAATCGATGTAAGTTTTCAATAAAGGCAGTTCAATTCTGGACACTCCCTGATGACTTGGAGATATAACAACTGCTGTAATTATACAGGAGTATAGGAAGCTTGTGTGTGTGTGTGTGTGTGTGTGTGTTTCTGGAGGGAGCTAGAAAATGAATCATACACACAGCATATAAGATCACCTTGACAATCTATATTCATCAACTGTAAATGCCAGAGAAGAAAGCAGAGAGTGGGACAGAAAATGCTGTAACAATAGTGTTTAGGTGGCAGAACACTGACTCATTCCTACCCCGTTACACTCAGTGCTCTTCGGCCCTTCCTCTTCCCAGGTACAAGGTTTTACCAAGTTGTACACAGAAGGTCAGAGATGTTCAAGAGGCTTGAAATCACACATTTAATCCATGCCCTTTTTCTTGGCCCACCTGGCACTAGATGGGCTGGAACTTTGCCAGATGATGGCCTTGACTTTGTCCTTAGAGCAACCATACCCAACAAACAGAAAAGTGGAAATTTTGGGAGAACATTTTCATTGGTGACTTTTGTAGTTGAGAGATGCTTAATTGTGCATTGTCTGGTTCATTTTCACCTCTAGCTTTTTACAAAAAAAGCAATATTCTCCCTCTGTCCCAGTGGCAAAGTAGATATGAGGGAAGGGTGGGCATAGAGAAGAAGTTCACCACTACTGTCCCTGGAGAGCGTGGATTGTCAGAGCACACTCTAGAGTCTGAGCGGCCAAATTCAAGTCATTAGTTTCTTGCTGCATGGCCTCAGATAAAGCCATTCAGCTAAATGGGCATAAGCCACAGGAGGAGGTGTCTGTGGGGCACTCAGCGCGGTGCCTTGCATACAGGACAAGTTTTAGGGAATAATGTCTACACTGTGGGCCATGATGCTGGAGCCTCCACTTCCTCACACCATTCTCCTTTCAGCTGAAAGTTGATGAATGAAGACAGGAAACTTAGAGAGCAGAGACATCCTCACCAAGGGGAGCGGTGAGGAGAAGGACACAGCAGCCATGCCCCCTGTGGTGTTTATTGCCCAGGATGTAAACATGATCCTCATGGAGAAAATTCTAATCCCTCTCTGAGTGACAGGAAGGAGCTGGAGGGTGTTTGATGAGAGACAGGGAGGGTGGAGACACTTAGTTATAAGTTGTATTGTTTCTCTATGACATCTGGATTTTTTTTTAAAAAGTTTCATCTACTATACAGATGTTTCCAACTACCCACATGTTGGGTGGCATGGAGCTCTAGGAGCCTAGTCCTACTGAGAGGAATTCTAAGTGGCTATTTTGAGATGGGTTTCCAGTAACGAACTTGCCAGTTTCTCTCTCATCTCTGTCAAAATGTCACAGTCCCCTCTTGATGAAGGGCATAGATGTGTAACATGCCTTTCAAGTTCTTTCTGCTATCCACCCTCCCCCCCCAAAGACCTGGAACACACAGGCTTTTAGCAAGCCACCAAGATCTGGGGTTCCCAGAATGGCACAGCCTATCCCCGGTCCCCACATAGCTCTGCTGACCAACACTGCCTGTCAGGAATGTTTTCGTGTCAAGCCCCGAGAAACAGCCTAAAATAAAGTGGGTCTCGAGTGAGCTGGGGTGCTCAGCAGTTTCCAATTTGCTCTCTTGCCATCAGCTGCCTCCCGTTCTTGGAGGGATGATTAGATTCTCATGTACTCGTCACATTTGTGTTACGTCATGTCATATTACATTTTAGGACGTTGCTCAAAAGTGGGTTTGACGGGTGATATTAACATTTTTGTTCTTCAAAACAGTATAGCTCTTCCCTCTTCCTTCCCTACCTAACCCCTTGATCAGGCACCTGCGATCAATTTGGCTAGCACAGAACCCGAGTTTTTGCTCCTGATGGATCCTTCCACATGTGCCATGGGAATGAACATGAACTGCAGATGGTAAGCCAATTAGATAAGAAATAACCACAGGCAGCATTTGAAGGGATGGACGGGCGCCTTCCAGAAACGGTGAATGGCTCTACCTTTGGAAAGCACAATCTTGAGCTGCCCAGATGTTCCTAGGTTGAACATATGCCTCTCCCACCATTAGTTCCATGCCCTGCAGATGCTTGGCTTGTCCTCATTCACCCCCATACTAACCCAGCACTAGGTGTAGCATCAGGCCAGCACATCTGCCATTCATGACCCACCATGAACCACAGGAGCTCTGTAGGCAAGTGCTCAGAGCTATTGCACCAAGCTGGGGTGCTTGCTCTCCCTTTGCAGACCCCTGGACACCTGGATCACATGCACCCGCAAAGTAATCTTTTCGCTTACCTCTGAATCCGTTCCCATTGCCACTGGAGCAGGCAGGCGAAGGGGAGCCTTGGGGCCTGATGACAGGGGCAAAGGCACTCTTCTGTTTGACAGCAGGAAAAACTGAAGAGGAGAACGGGAGGATGGAGGACGTGCTGGAGGAGCCCACAGTGGGGCTTGAAGACATAACTGCAAGCAGAGGTGAACATTCTTTAGGAGGGGGCTCATCAAGAAGCCATTGTTTCATAGCATGCACATTCTCCTCAATTTGATTAAAAAATTATTAGTTCCCAGGTAGTGCTCCAGGTTCCAGTGATTAAAAACAAGAGCAAACTTGAGGGACCTTCATACCAATCTTCCTTGGGGCTGGGTCACTTTACATCCCCATCAGCCACAGGTAAGAGTTCCTCCCCCCCCCATCCTTACCAGCATCTGCTATTGTTTTCTTTGTGGTCACCATTCTGGCTTGGGTAAGAAGAAATCTACATATTGTTTTATTTTGCATTTCCCTCTCAACTAAGGCAGTGGAAAACTTTTTCACAGGTATGGCACACCTGCTCATATATCTTTCGAGAATTATCATGCGTTACGTGAGCCCATTTACTGATTGGGCTGTCAGGAGAGCATCGTGTTATGCAAGGTAAGTCAGATGCAGAGACACAATAGCACATGCTCTCTCAGTTGTCCCTGAGTCCCTACAATCCTTTACAAGTACATAAAGCCATTATGTATATGCATGGACATGTATGTACATGTACATATCACCATATATGTGACATGAAAGCAGAAGAGAGATGAATATGGATCATCAAAGGACTTGAAAGAATGCATCTATCTGAACCCCAAAACTGTATACAATTACTATACACCAATAAAACAGAAATAAGAAAAAAACCCCACTGAATGTGATAATCTTATTTCTCTGCCCAGGAGGGAGAGACACATATAACAATCACTGTGGCAACGATCCCATTAGAGGAAAAAGGAAGGCCCTATGAGAAGACAGGATGCTTTTCCAACTGGAGTTCAGGGAGGCAGGCGTCAAGGTTGGAGGTAGGGTGTGAAAAAAAAATCTATACAGCATGGGAAACTTCATTTCTTCCCCCCCCCCAAAAAAAGCAAAGTTCTATGTGGAGCTCAGAGCCACCTGGCATCTCCCATGCCTAGAGGTGTGACATCCAGGGCTAAGATCGCCCTGGTTGCCCTCTCTGTGGACTACTTCTTCACTCAGTGTGGGAGTTTATTAATATTCAGAAGATGACCTCCCTCTCTGGACTTTCAGTGCACTTGGGAAATAAAGCTGAAATTCAGTCTCCCCTGACATAATGCTCAGAGAGAAACCACCAATATTAACAATATTAACATTAAAAATGACTTAAGGGGAGCCAAAGGCGAAGTGTGGTAATTTCCAAGAAAAATAAAGGCAGTTTAAACAGTGATGGGGCCCCACCCCTCCATGGCACACACTCCATTGAGTTACATCAGACGGGAAGGTCTTATTATTTGTTACTAAGCTTGCTCAGAAGGAGCAGATGAGATGGAAAAACAGCATCAACAGCTAAGTACAAGGTGAACTGAAGGTCAGGAGCTTTGGTACCCCAGGGTAGACGCTACCCGCTCTTTCTCTGCATCTCAGTTGCACCACTCGCAATCACAGACAGTATGTACAATATAATGTCTTTCTTCTTAAGGATTTCTTTTATTATTTTTAATTGTGTGCATCTGTGTGTGGCCATGGCACATGAGTGCAGGTGTCCAAGGAGTCCAGAAGAGGGCATCAGATCTCCTGGAGCTTCAGGTAGTTGTAAGCTGCTCCATATGAGTGCTGGGAGCTGAACTTGGGTCCTCGAGAAGAGCCCTAAGAGATCTTAACCGCTGAGATATCCCTCTAGCCCTCAGAACGATATCATTACAGCAGAATCATAAGCCTAAGAGAGCAAAAAGAGCTTTTTCTACAGAACACTCATGCTTAGGTAGTGCTGATTAAAAAGCTGTAGAGAAAGACACACTTGAGTAAATCTCTTCCATTTTTGCCAATATAAATAGAAAAAAACATTGGAAAGGAGGGCAGAACTTCGTGTCGTGCTTGAGCATGGAGATGTGTGAGAAACTGGACCAGTTCACCACACTGCACAAGATGCAGGACTCGGCACTGGGGAGGGATCTTGTTTATGGTTCCAAGCCTAATATCATCTTCTAGAGCGTTTGCTTTAGAATCAATAAAACAATGATTAAAAAACTGCTTTTCCCTTCCCTTAATATCAGAGTTAGAGGCCAAAGAAAGGCTGAGAGTCAGTAACCTCTGGTCCAGACCATGGTCTAACCTCTGCTACTTTAAATCCTCAATGTAGACACCAAAATGACACCTTAGTTTCAGCTGTTGGAATAGCCTCAATCAAGCATAGTAACAGAGAAGGTTCCTTTTTAAAATATGGTATTATTATTAACTCTTTGAAAATTCCACATGTGCGTATAGTATATTTTGGTTGTTTAGATATGTGTCTATATTTACACATGTGCACACATGGACACATAAACATAACATATGAACATACACACACATACAGCACACACACACACAACACACATGTACATACAACACATGTGTACACATAACGCATGTACACACACATAAACACATGTACATACAATGCATATGTGCACAATTACACACATGATATACACACATAAAATACATTTATATACATATGCATGTGCATATACATATATCATATGTACACACAGATACACATGTATATACATATACACATGTATATACACATAAACACATGTACATATAATACACATAAATACACACATGTATATGCACATAACACACATACAGACATGTACACACACATATATCACATGCACACACATGTACACACATAACACATGTACACACATAGACACGTGTATACTCAAATATACACATATACAACAAAAAATGTACAAACACATACAGCACATGTACACACAT